TGCGGTCCATGGGGGGGGGGGGCATCAGCCAGCATACATTCTCTCTTGTCCAGATAGCCGGCTTAGAGGTTTCAGGATTCCTCTCTTTGCACACTGCCCACATCACGCCTGTGAAACCTCATATCATCAATCCAGTCTACTGGGGCTAAACAGCTTATTTGGCAGAGCTAAACCAGGAACCTTCATTTGCTAAAAACCAACCATGTATACAGGTGTGATTCAGACCTACTTGTCTGATGTGAGAGGACCGGTTATCACAAATGTAAATCAAAACCAAAATAAATACATGTATCATGTCAATCTCACATCTGATGTCACCCACACACTGCACAACAGACAGTAGCAGTCACAAAGCCTTCTCTCACCAAAGCCCTCTAGTTCTCAAGCACAGACTGATAGCTGTAATATTTCATTTCAAGGTGGCATTTCACTATTGCACAGTAGAACAAGAGGGTTTTTTTTCTGTTCATATTCAGTAGCCTAGAGTGTGATGGACCTGAATGACTCCACTTCTACTTGACTTGACTGTCCTTTCAAATACCATATTAGGGTTTGTTAAATGTTTTGACATTTGATTGCATTTTAAATGACAGATGGGATAACCTCGCACTTAAAAATATTAAAGACTACTCAAATATGCCAATGTCTAGTTCCACTCAGTGACTGATTTGATGTGGAAAAGAGTAGACGGCAAGAAATCTAAGCAGTGTGATTTGCTACAATATTTAAAACCACATTTTATATTAAAACACATTTTATAATCATGCATGCAGTTTCAAATAATTTGTCAGACCATACAATCAAGTTGAAGGCAAAAAAAAATAATTAAAATTGGTGGGAAAGATAAATAATGGCATTTATGGGACCAAATATATAGAAATAATTTTATTTTATTGATGCGTGACTTCCATCATTTAAAAATCACTTTGACCCAAAAACACAAGTTTTATGCACTCAAGTAAAAGTTTCAACTTTCTAATTATATAATTGTTTTCTAATGACTAGTATTATTCTATTCCAAACCACTGCAGAGATGTAATAATTTTTCTGGCTGCAATAAACTCTTGAGAAAATGAACACTAATGATTGGAAACAATTTGTTCTATTATTTAACAGCATTAGAAGATTTATTCAAACAAACTACCGGTCAAAAGTTCAGAATCATTACGATTTTTCATGTTTTTGAAAGTCTATTTTGCTCACCAAGGTTGTGTTAATATTTAATATTGATAAGAAATTTTCTTGAGCACTAAATCAGCATATTAGAATGATTTCTGAAGGATTATTTGACACTGAAGACTGGAGTAATGGCTGCTAAAAATTCAGCTTTACCATCATAGTAGGGCTGGGCGATTTTTCAGATTTTATCGATTAATTCGAATTTAATGTTTTGCCATGATTTAATTTTTTATAAATTGATGAATCACGATTTTGAATAGAAATATTACCAAACGTTAGAATTAGACACATTGACAATATGCCAATGTTAACAGTAAAGAGAAAAGAATGATCCACCCACATGTCGGCGCACGTGATTAACCGCTCACGTGTGACACGCTCTGTGAAGGACCACAAGTAGAATATATCACTAGGTGCCATTCAGACAGAATGCACTTTTGTGTTGACAAAGATGTGCCGCGGGCAGTTGAATAGGAAAAAATGCAGGAATGTGAGTTGAACTTCTTTTACCTTGAGCATGTCGTTTCATGCATGAGACGCTGCAATAGACGCGAGCGCAACAGTCAACTGTCAAACCATGTTTGCATAGAAAAACTGTGGAAAAGCAGCAATCGAATAAAAACCTGTAAAGAACTACTACTGTATGTCTGAAATTTCATGTTTGCATCATGGTGACAGGCTGAAAGCTGCTGTTCATTGTTTTTACAGTACATTTAGAGCCTAGTTAATAATAGTCTACTGGTGTTATACTTAATAGTCTACTGTAGTGTTGTCACGATACTGGAATTTCTAACTTCGATACGATACCTTGAAAAATATCGATATTCGATACCATTTTCGATACCATGGAGTAAAAAACTGCCACAATATTAAGGGGGTAAATTATTATTTTTTTAATTTAAAGATAAATATAACAAGTCTAGAACATGACAATGAGGTATATTTTACATGAACAAAAATGTCTTGAGCTAGTGTATTTGTTCAAAAGCCTCTCAGATTGCCATACATTCAAAAACCAATAAAGTGCAAGTAAAAAAAAAAAAAAAGTGCAATCTTTTGTATTTCCAAATAAAATCAAATCCAATCACAATATCAACAAAAGATACTTAAACTTCAAGCAAAAACAAAATCAGTGCAATCTTATGCATCAAGTAACAAATTAGTAAACAAAATAATTAAATGGAATCCGTTACTGCAATTATATGCAGATTTTCTCTACAGAGGTGAGTGAGATTGACACCCATTACTGTATCCTAAAGTTGTTTTGCAACTTTCAGATTTTGAGCTAGGAACACCAGCATGTCAATGTGCTCCTCTGTAAGTCGTGCCCTTCTTGCACTGCAAATGAGCCCTGATGTACTAAATACACGCTCTGAAGCTGAACTTGAAGCAGAGATGCACAGATACTTCTTAGCAAACTGGGCAAGGTGAGGTAAAGTTGTCTCATGTGTCCTCCACCATGTGAGTGGGTCCTCTTCTGCACTGATTTCAGGCATCTTTTCATATACTGAGAACTCATTTTTGAATTCCGTTTCTGCACCCTCACCTTCTTCTCTGGATGATGAACCCTCTCCATGTTCACTCTTTTTTTCCCCCTGTATGCTTGTTAACAGTCTCTTCAGATCTGATTTATTTTTTTTTGCTGGTTGCTGCTTGTCGTCTGGAGATGATGTTTGCTGACTTTGGCCCCCTGCTTCTAGCAAATTGACACTGACCATAAGATTCTGTTTAACCTCCTCTCTTAAGGTTACAAAACTGTCCTTGAACCTTGGGTCAAGAAATGTGGCTGTGTTTAATATCAGCTGCAGATGTGTGTTGTTCTCATATCTCTGTCTGAGATCTTCTCTGATGTTGTCTTTAAGTTGACGTTTTAGGTTGCTGTCACCTTCCTCAACTGTCAAAGTAGAGAAGATCTTCCAACTCAGAGGCAGGACTGCAGAGAGAGTGGTGTGTTTTTCACCACTAAGGGCATCCGTGAAAGAGCTGACGGGGCTCAATACCTCTTTTACAGTCTCAAGAACTGTAATATCTGAATCTTTGGGCATGAGGT